CCGCCATAGCCATTTCTTCGAATCTTTCTTTTCCCCCAAGCATGAGAAACCATTTCTTCAAATCTTTAACGCCGTCGCATTCTCCGGCGAGAACGACGCCGTCGCATTCCCCTGCCAGAACGACGCCGTCGCATTCTCCGGTGAGAACGCACGGCTTGTGCAGGTCTCTGATGGAGGAGAACATCGAAGTTGCAGAAACCCTAATAACGCAGTGGGATTGCGCCGCCTCCTCCTACGCCGACATCACTCCTCTGTTCCAAGACGACCGCCACGAGGCCAAGCGGTACCTCAAGGCCGTCACGGATTTGCAGACGGCGATGCAGTATTTCGGCTCCGAGCACTCCAATTCTCACCACCTCGTCCACGCCCAAAATCTGATGCAGACCGCGATGAAGAGATTACAGAGGGAGTTTCACCAGATTCTGACAGAGAATCGGGGACATCTCGATCCTGAATCGATTTCTAACAGATCCTCTAGGGGTTCTGCGGTTACCACTAACTCAGATCTGGAGGATGAGTCTGAAGAGGACGATTTGCGTTTCGCTAACGAAACTGTAACGGAGGAGGAGCGGATTTCGAGGACGGCCATGGCGGATTTGAAATCGATTGCGGATTGTATGATTTCTGCTGGTTATGGAAAAGAGTGTGTGAAAATCTACACTGTTAATCGGAAATCGATTGTTGAAGAAGGATTGTACAATCTCGGAGTTGCGAAGACTAGCTTCCACCATGTCAACAGGATGGAGTGGGAGGTTTTGGAGGTGAAGATCAAGAACTGGCTCAACGCTGTGAAAATCGCGGTTAGAACATTCTTCGAATCGGAGAGATTTCTATGCTATCAGGTTTTCTCGGCCTCCGCGTCCATAAGAGAATCGGTTTTCTCAGAGATTACGAAAGAGAGCGCCATGACTCTGTTTGGCTTCCCGGAAATGGCGGTGAAATCGAAGAAAACTCCCGAGAAAATTTTCCTGATTCTGGACCTCTACGAGGCGATCTACGACCTGTTGCCGGAGATCGAATCGATGTTCTCCTGCGAATCGACGT